TTAATGTCCATACTTCTAATCACCAAGGGACATAGTTTGATATTATCTACAAGTGGACACCAGTAGTGTCTCCCAAAACCCCAAAAGTCAACCAAAATTTATATTATGTATATATGTCTGACTCTCTTAAAAGAAAGGGAAATTGGCTCAAATAACCTAAAAAAAAATTATAATTTAAAATCTAACTAAAAACCCTACATCTAATGATCATCATTTTGTCACATACCCCCATTTTACTTACTTTTTAATTAACTTTTTTTTTGGTCATTCATGCAGTTAACCCTAAAAGAAAACATAAATTTTTGAAGCTATTATCAAAGTTTAGATCCAAAAAAAAAAAAAAAGCCTTATCAAAGTTTCTCAAACAAGTTAAAAACACAATAAAACAACAAAACACACGTAAGTCTTAGAGCATGATTATCCATGAGATTTGGTGGGTATCATTAAATAAAAAATTATTAAAATTTGAATAAAATGAAGAAAGAGAATGTTTTTGGTTGAAATAATAGAGTGTATTGAAATATAAAATTAATAAAATTTGAATAAAAAGAGGAGATGGGTTGATACTTTTGGAGAGAGAGTGTCTTTGTATCAATGGGTTGATACTTTTGGAGNGAGTTTAAATTTTAGTTGGGGTGTGTTTAAATATAAAATTAATAAAAATTGAGTAAAAGGATGAAAGAGAAGGTATAAAATTGAGTAAAAAGAAGAGAGAGAGTGTGTTTAAATAATTTTATATTTAGTGATACCCACCAAATCTCATGGATAATCATAGTCTTACCAATTAATGTTTTGGTTCACTGGTTCTGTGATTTACTTATCGCATAGTGGATTTGCGAAAAACACAATTGGTGTGTTTTATTAATTTAGCCAAATTATAATAGCTACGTTATAGTAGTAACCATGAAACTCGAAAAAGAGTAGATCTTAACATTATCCAAGTCATAAATCATAATAAAGAGAAAAAATTTGAAAAGAAAAAAAGAAAAATGTGATAAGAAGCCTTTTCAATATGAAGGAATAGCGCAAATCATGAACTTCATATACGGAGAAACTTCATACAGACGAAGGGAAAAAAAAAACGCAAGTGTTGAAGAGAAAATATGTGCATGGTTAACACACACATAATAGCCCACGTTGTG